GCAAAATGCAGTATAGGTACATTCATCCGGAATATAAGTAGTAAAACGGCAACAAGGCAATCTTACAGTTTTGAAGGGACAATTTATCAAAACATTTCTTAAAATTACTCATAAATAAAGAAAATTTTGCAAGGTATCCCGCCTAAACGCCATCATACACACATTCAGTGTGACATCACATCTCGGTATAGTTACAATATCTCGAAAGTCGAAATGTGCCTCGATAAGCGAACACAAAGTTCGTTCAAAGACTAAGTAATATGTCATGAGCTTAATATATTATCAATTCTTGTGAATGTGGTCTTAAACGTTTTGGAAAATGACTAGCTTTCATAATTTTACAGTCCCACTGATTAATGTTTTAGTTTTAGGCTAGTTTTAGCATTCTTCCATCAATTGTTCGTTTTGGAGGTTATGTTTGTTTACGGGGGCACATTTCGACTTTTGAGATGTCGAACCAACAATAGCGCTCCATGATGTCACCACTAAATGCGTCTATTTTATGGTCAAATCCATAATTTTAAAGTTCGAAACTTGGCAACGTTGAAACGGGAGTAAAAAAAAATTTCCGGTCATGAAAATTACAGGGAATTTGCTACTTATTCGGAAGAATTACATAGTAAAATTTCTGCTGAATTCATTCAAACATGGGCCCATGCCATCGTGTCACCTCCAAATCCAAAATTTTCGAGTTGAAAATTTGGCAAAATTGCAACGAGAGGGAAAAATATTTTCCGGCCATGAAAATTTCAGAAAATTTTCACCTCATATCGGAGAATAACTTACTGTACATTTAGACCAACCGAAGAATAAGCAGGGGGGGCCAGTGTCACAATTTTTTTCGCAAAATCCATAATTTTTAAATTTGAAACTTTGCAATGTTGTAAAGAGAGCAAAAAAAATTTAGCGGTCATGAAAATTTCAGGAAAGTCGTACTTCATACCAGAAAATAACATACTAAAAATGCAGATGAATCCAAGAAGAAATGGGGCAAGGGGGGAATTTAGTTGGCCTACACGAGTCTATTTTCCGAAAAAAGCATAAAAAAACCCATGACGAAATCGCGATTACTTCTCCAGGAGCTCCGATAACCGATCTCGAAATTGTGGTTTTTAGTATCTGGTAGTGCTCCTCTGAACATTCCAGCTCAAATTTTTTAGTCACGACCAACTTCGATTCGAATTCCTTTCAGGAGCACCGTGAGAGGATAGAATAGACTCAACAAACCATTAAAGAATCTTAAAGGCGACCAATGAACCCAGATGTCAAAACTACCAATTATACGCTGAATTGGCAACTTTGACCCCCAAAATGGGGGCTAAAACTTCGAGATAGGAAGAAACGCCCATTGACACTTTTAGTCAGCAGGTTAAAACCTACAACATATCAGGAAACCAGCCGATTGAACCAGGCCCACTTTTCCCATAAGGTTGGACCATCGTCCTTTGCTTACATGTATTTGAAACTAGAAGAGCAGGGGAGACGAGGGGGAGCCCCTGGAAATCTACTTGGCCTCCCTTTTAAAAGTGGTCGCATTTAAATTGCAGGAGAGCTCTGGGAGTTTTAAAAGCTGAAGAAACAAATAACAAAAGCGAAATTTGGGGGAGCGCTTCTTAACAGCGAAATTGGGAAAACAAACATATGAAACACATCCCATGACAGTGGGCAGTGTTTCTGCATTTTCACTGAAGAAACCAATTTTGCAGAGTAAACGGAGGATTAGAATGTTCCAAAAAACTCGAAACTCGGAAATAGGTGCTCCCCAGGCTGTAATCTCTTCTTACGTCTATGAATGAAATCTATGCAAAACGTCGATCTTAAACTTAATTTTTTAGGGATCCTGCACCAACTCTAAACATTTAACCTGCAAAGTCTCTAAAAGGTTTGCTGGTAATTGTTCAATAGTGTTTATTTGGCAAAGTTAGAAAATACTACTATGAACTTCACATAAATTGATATTAAATGTTTTGTGACTACAAAAACTAGTCAGATTTATGTATTCATCCCTCTGGGTGGACTGGAATTTCATTTGATCATGCTCAAAGATTTGGGAGGTCCTGAGGGGTGACAAACTTATACAATTTTTTTACCACACAGACCCCTCGCACTGAGGCGTAGTGCAAAGGGTGCAGAAAAAGCCTAGTAAGGGTGGTCTGGTCTGGGACACCCAATATTTTGCATAAAAGTTCACTACAAGCGTATTTTATTTGTGGATGCGGTACGCCGCATCCAGTATGTCCGCATCCTATTTTTGGCCAAACGCATCCACCAAAGGCAGGCGTGGGAAAACGCTCCGTCAAAATATCACGTGACTAGTCATGTGATATGCAGGAACCGGGAATTCCAAAAAATTGCATATGGGCGACCTGTTGTTGTGTGCCGTGTTGCAAGTGAAGTGTCGTGTAGCTTATAAAAAAAAAGGGAAACAAATTTAACCTGATTCTCATACTATAAATAAACCAGCAAACAGTAATTATAGAACTGTAACCTTTCATTTTTTGAATAGCACCATTATTTAGCCCTATAAACCTTCCAAAAACTGTTGAACTAACCCTTGCAAAGAAACATCTTGAAATAGAAAGTAACTAATACAGGGTGTTTCAGACCACCCGTACCAGGCCTTTTTCTCGGTTGTTTTAGGTCGTACGAAGTCGGGGACCGCGGGGTTGAATAGGGAATTGACCCCAAGGAATCCGAATTTCGTGGTCCCGAAACCCCCCCCCCCATCCCCCTTGGGCTAAAAGTCACGGTTCCCGACCGAATTGCGGATTAATCGCATCAGAATTGACAAGCACGGAAAATTTCACGTGAAATTGACCCCTAAAAATCCATAATAATCGGCCCATCCAAGGCCTAAAAATGACCACCTAAAGAGGGGACAGTACCCCCTCCATAATTTCTCTTTGGTCTCAAAATTGACGTAGATTCTCCAGAAAAAGAAGGTTTCCCGGGTAATCGACCCCGAGAAATCCAAACTTCATGGTCCCGAAGCTCCTCTAGCCCCCCTTGGGAGGTAAACGGGGGGCCAAATTTTAAAAATCGGGGCTCCATTCCGAATCGCAAATTAATTGCATCCAAATTGAGGAGCAGAACACTTTTACATCTTTAGTGACCCCCAAGAGTTTTAGTTGACCCCCCTGAACGGCAGAAAGTAACCCCTGAGGAGGGGGGCTTTGCCCCCTCCAAGAGTTTTTCAAGATTCCTCTTTGGTCGCAAAATTGACGTCGATTCTCCAGAAAAAGACGGTTTCTGCCCAAAAGGGCGAGCAGCGGAGCTTAGGGACCATGAAATTCAGAGTCCTCAGGGTCGATTACCTGGAAAACCGTCTTTTTCTGGAGAATCGACGTCAATTTTGCGACCAAAGAGGAATCTTGAGAAACTTTATGAGGGGGCGAAGCCCTCCTCCTCAGGGGTTACTTTCTGCCGTTCAGGGGGGTCAATTGAAACTCTTGGGGGTCACTTAAGATGTAAAAGTGTTCTGCTCCTCAATTTGGATGCAATCAATGTGCGATTCGGAAAGGAGCCCCGATTTTTAAAATTGGGCCCCCCGTTTACCCCCCAAGGGGGGCTAGAGGAGCTTCGGGACCATGAAATTTGGATTTCTCGGGGTCGATTACCTGGGAA